TCACGTGGTTTCCCTACTTAAAGCCTTCAATGGCTTCTCATTACAATTATATTATAATCCAAATTCCTTCCCCTGGTCCACAAGGGTTGGCGTGATCTGCCTCTCCTTTCTCGTTTAAGCATTGTCTCTCTTTCCTCAATATATTCCAACTACACATGCCTCCATTTAGTTCCTCCAACTCCCCAAGCATTTTTAGAGTATTCACAATTGCTGTTTTCCGGACTTAAATGCTCTTTCCAGCACTTCACATGGCTAGTTCATTTTCATCCTTCAAATCTCCATCCTTCATGTTACCTTCCCAGAGAGGTTTTCCCTAAATAAACTCCATTATTCCCTATTTCCTTCCTGATCCTTTTCTCACTTGGTAATTACATGGCTGTTTCTTTGTGAATTCACTTACATTCTGTCACCCTCACAAGAATGGAAGTTCCTTAAGGTCAGGAATTAAAGTACACCTTTTCATCACTACTATCTGCACCTGTGCTTAGCACAATGCTTGACATAGAGGAGGTACTGAATAAATGTGGAACAAATGAACAGATGAGAAAGATCACAGGGTTCGACATGAGGTGGAGTAATTCAACATATAGAGACAGAGGTGTATTAACAGGAAGGAAGAGCAAGATGGTGGAAAATTTTCAATTATGCTAATATGTGAAGATCTAGGCAGGATGGTGGCCAACAGATAGAACAGGTCAATCATTGGTTCAAGATGGGAATTTGATCAAGGAGTCAGGGCAGATCTTCTACATATGAAGTCAGAGTTAGGAAAAAAGAGCATAATTAGTTTGCTGTCGGTTCTAGAGAAGTTGGCTAAATTTCCTTGAATCTCACTAAAATCAGGATTGCTTGTAGAAACCAGGCTGGGACTGAGATTACAGCCATAGCTTTTGAGAGAAGAGGGATGCCAAAGATGGGGAGCTAGGCGGGGCTTGACAAGCCTGATACTGTGTCACAGAGACACTAATGGACTTACTCTTCAGATCGTCAACCTCTGTTTTGCATTTTTAATTAATACTTCTTCCTTATCTACAAAGTGGGAGAGCTTTTAACTGGATATGACCACCGCGATCCTTTCCAGCCCTGAAAATCTGTCCTCTATGCCATAGTTTCCAGGTTTCAAATTATTTTTCACTGTACACAGTCAGTGTTGGCTGTTTCTTGGTGATTTCATTATAAACAATCTTTATGGACATAAGTGTTGTACGTCATCTGTGGGTCCTTGTTAGTCCCTTTCAGATAGAGTGGCACTTCTTGACTTGGCTGCTTGACTTGGGAAAAGAGCATATTTTGGGGCCTGTAACCCTAAATGTACTGACTGGAGATAGAACTTCAGAAATAAAGAATTTTAATAATATTTAGTAGCAAAATAGCCTAAATTATTGTTTAATATAGCGGTTGCTTAACAGTAAAAACGTACATTTAAAAAATTATTAAATTTCAGAAAGTTAACATCTGAAGTATTTTTTTCACTGAAGTTATCCATTCTCTGAGGATTTCATTTTGATTCTTGTCTGAACACAAAATTGAACTAGTAAAATACAAGGTTACTGGTCCCTCAATTGCAGGATTAGACTGTCTTCCTTATTCGCCACTGTGTGCTGAAACATGAAAAAATGAGAATTAGTCTGTACAAACCAGAGAAGTATTAACAAGATTCTGAGAGAGGAGGGAGAGATTTTCCAGGACTGATTAGGTAGCATTGTAAGGAGACAGGGCTAGTCGTGCATTATAACTAGAGGTTTGAAGCAAGACTTAGAGATTTCAAACAAAGTAGAAAAATGCTTAAGTGGATCAGTAAGAAATGTCAACTACAGGCTTCTTAACATGTAACACTGAAAATGTAAAATTAAAGAAAAATGTGAGAACATTTAAAAGATAGATTTAAAAAGATCTTTTGAAAAAGTCTAGAATTTGGACATACTTATTAGGAATAAAAACACAAATGAAGGAGAAAACCTTTAAGAAAAAAGAGTGGTTATATTAACTGATAAACATAGAAGGAATAATGCAAGTAGGAAAATCACCATTTTGCAACCACTATGGAAACAGTTGATTCAGAGGAATAATCAGTACATGCTAAAAGTTTGAAGAGGAATGGCATATTTATATATTATCAAGGTGTCTCCCCAGTGATTACTTATTAATTACAAAGTGAGAAATGGTAACTTTATAGCAAAGAAACCTGACCGGCATCACCTTATTGGTCGATCAAAGTTAATATCACCAATGATGGGATAAACTGAGATTTGGTCCCTGATGTGATGCACTGAGAACATCACATTTATGTAGTATTCCTGCCCAAGATGCATAACCTGAATCTAATCATGCAGAAACATCAGACAGACCCACAGGGAAATTCTTCAAAATAACTACCCTGGTACTCTTGGAAAATTTCAATGCCTTGAAAAACAAAGAATGAAGAACTATTCCAGACGAAGAGGACTGACGAGACATGCCAACTACGTGTAATGTGTGATCTTTGATCTGGATCAGAGGGAAAATAATCTATAAAGGCCATTGGAGAAAAAGGAATATAGACTATATGTCAGATAAAAGCGTCACCTAAGTTTTATATTCCTGGGTTTGGTAAATGTGCTGTGACTACACAAAGGAATGTTCTTGTTCTCAGGAAATGAACACTGAAGTATTTAGGGATGAAAAGGCATGATTCTGCAAATAACTCTCAAATGGTTTAGGAAAACTATTTTGTGGTGGGGGTGTGTGTGTGTAGTAAGAGAGAGAAATCAAATATGGCAGAATGATAACAACTGGTGAATCTGGTTGAAGGGTATACAACAGTTCTTTGTTCTATCCTTCCCACTTTCCCGTAAGTTTGAAATTATTTTAACATGAACAGTTAAAGAAAAAATGAATGATTTTTAATCTTCTACCTGAGGAAAGGTGTTCCTTTCTGCTTGAGTTTCTGTGACTGAGTAGAAAGCATTTGACAGTGCCAAAGTGACACTGTGGACCCATGAGACAGAACTGATGGCCCAGCTGGCCGAAGAGCTTGCAGTATTGTTTATCAGCATAATTCAGAAAACAAGGTCGAGTTTCTTATAACTCTCCCAGAGGATTGTCACCTTTTATGGATAGTTCGGTTCATTTTATAAACATTAGTGGGGCTCTTACTATATGTCTGGAACTTTGCTATGCGCTGGAGTCTCCTGTTCTCAGGTTACTGACAGTAGGGGAGGGGGCGCCTGTAGAAACAAATTTAACATATGACAGAAAAGTAAACACAGAGAAGAAGTTATCAGAGAAGGCGATAACTAAGACAATATGGGGAGGAAGAGGTGGTGTGGTGGAACAGAAATGAGGCCCAGGAGCTTTCAGCCTGGTGGGGGTGCGGCATGGGGCAGGAGAGACGCCGGGCAAAGGAAGCAGTGGGACAGAGGTGGGAGATGTAAGGAAGCTTGGGCCGTTTGGGGGACTTTTAAGCAATTTGGTATTGCTGAAGTGTAATATAGCTTTCTGATTTTCAATTTGTAATAATAAAAAAGAAATTAGTTTTTAGTTTAGTTATGAATATTTATAAGATATCAAAATAGTATAAAATAATTAACACTAGAGAACATACAATACAAATTGATCCTTTGATACACTGTTTTTATTTTGTGTGACACAGCACCTTATTATAACTTGGGATTACCCCTTTCACCTTTGTACCTATTTCAGTTTTTGTTAAATTTGAATAATATATAAACCCTTTTTTAAGGGAAGAAATTCCCATAATTCCCAACAGTCACATCTTCCGATGTTAGTGATTGGTGGGTCTCAGTTTGAGAAACACTGAGTTAGGGGACGAGAGTCTTATTTTATGAAGACGTCTTTCAATTACAAATTTCTACTATAAAAGAGATAATTTGTTTTCAAATGGCAGAACTGTTTTTGATTATCAAAATGAAAACAAATGATCAAAATGCAATCATTAATAAAAAATATTTTCAATCTTTGAGTCAAAAGCTTAATGTTCTTAATATGCAAGCTTTACATAAATTTGTAAGCCATACATTCAGACACCCACGAGTACATGGGCAAAGAGCCTGAATAAATAATTTACAAAAGATGAAATAAAAATGACTAATACACATTTTAAATGAGAGACCAACAATGTGGAAACAGTTCAATGAAATATGCATTTGCATAGGATGACATTATTTAGACATTAAAATGATGTTTTTGAAAACTTCTAAATAATAGAAATGTTTATGCTGTCATATTAAATTTAAGAAGCAGTGAACAAAAAGTGTGATTTCAACCTTGTCAAAATGTACAAAGATTTCGATAATTATACCATAGGAATGGAAGATGTAGGAGCAGCTGAGTGAAGAGAGTGCGGGGACTCTCTGTACCATTTTTGCAACTTTTCTGTAAGTCTAAAATTATTTCAAATTAAAAAGTTAAAAAACATACATAGAAAAAATAAAATTTTAGTAGTGATCTCTACATGGTATAATTGTGGCTTTTCCCTTTCATTTAAAAAATACTTGTCTATAACAAATTTTTACAATGAGTTATATGTTATTTAATCATTAAAAAAACCCTCTTTCTAAAATTAGGACCAAAAAGAAGCTAAACTCAAAAGAAAAATGTCGTAGATCACAATTAATTCGTTGGTTGGTGTGGCAGCTAAACATAAACGTGATGCTGAAAAAAGGGTGCCTCTGGGCGGAGACCAGGATAGAGACATCCACTGGTTAGGGATGCATTTTACAGCTGGATGTGAGGTGTGAGAGGAGATAATAAAAATAAGGACTGAGATAGATTTAGGAGGCTGTGGCACTGAGGATTTTATTTTAGTAGTAAAGAGGAGAATGACGTCTCGAGAGAGAGTAGGTAGCTGTAGTATTTTATGTTGGAAGAGAGGCTAATTCTCTGGGATTCTCAGGAGCGTAAATCACAGTAGGTTATGGGAGTATTCCCAAAAGGTTGGTTTTTAACAAGTTAAAGTCATTTGCTTTAGATAACCATCTTCATACTTGTTTTTATCACAGACGCCTTTCTAAGCAACTCAGTTTTGCTGCGTTCAGGCCTCCTTCTGAAGAGACAGCTTCTTATCTTAATGAGTCGCCAAGGTAATCACCTACTTGAATTAAGTCTCTCTTGATCTGGACTTTTGTGTGAAGTCTTATTTGTTCAATGTTAAATAAGGACAAATAGAGAAATGAATATACACTATGGTGCCTTAGGAGCTGCACCTGAAAAACTGTAGCATGTTAGACATTGTGGTTCCGCATCCCTTCCAATCTCCTGACCTCTGAGATGGCCGGCATCCTCCCTCGACACGCGGGAGCTCCCCACAGCGCTGATTCTGAGGGAGGGCCGGTAAGCAGGGGATGCCGCTGGTAAAACACATCCCCGTGCGTACACAACTCCATTCCGAAACTGCTCCCTTTCTCCTGCATCACCCCCTCCAACTCTAGTTATTGCTAGAACCAGAACTGGAACGTTTATCTTAGAGCATTATTGTTTTCAGCCTCCTTTTTCATATTGGGAAGTCAGAGCTCGAAGCAACGTGGTGTCAGAAGTTGTTCCTGGGAGAGGGACTATGAGGCTCCACTTTAAATTTTGACCCTGATTCCTACTATTTCTGTCCCCCAAATTAGGTTTTAAGCCCCTGGCAGTGACAGACCAGGTCTTATCCATCGATTTACCACCTTTAGGGTTAGCCTTTAACTTTCGAGAAGGTAGTTACTTAGTAAATTTTTAATGAAAATGAAAACTATTTTCTTTAAGGGCAAATTTTATTCCTTCATGAAGGAAAAACCTTTACCCTGCTATAAAAAAAGTAAAATGTTGCATAAGTACAAATTAAAATGGAAGGTACAGAATGTGGAGCTTAAAGCTAAGTAGTAGCTTTGATCTTTGGCTGAGTATTTTAAAAAGATTAAAAAGGTTATTAAAAATAAGATCTAAAGGTCCAATAAGACTCTTAAAAAAGGACCCAAGAGAGGATAAATCTACGTGGGCTCCTTGAAGGCTGCAAATACATTGTGCCATGTGGGCGTCACAGCCAGGGACCGCTGCTCCCGAGGTGTTACAGGGGATTCTGCATCCAGAGTCTCCGCCCCCGGAGAGTGCATTGCAATTGTTTCTCAAATATGAAAACTGAGGAATGACTGACTTAAAGGACAGAAAATTTGCATAATTTTCTTTTATGCAAATATACAGTGTTACTAATGTACTCATGCCTGGGGGAGATTACTTTATGAAGGAGAATAACAATTTGCTCCTCTATAAAAGAGAATAACAGTAATGATCTCACAGGCTGAAGTAAGGATTAAATTGGCACAATGCCTGAGAAGTAGTATGTATGTGCTAAAGAAACAGTGGTTTTTATTTTGTTCACAAATTGAAATTCAGAGGTGTGTTACAAATGGTGAAGTGTATCTGAGATAGAGTTACCAGGGCCTTACTGTGCTTCAACTACATTGTAGTTTATATTGGCTTATGTGAGCAGAGAGCAAGGCGTTGCTACCACGTCTAGCAGTGCTTTAAGGGAAAATAATTTCTCAAAACAACATCACTGGCATGCTCCTGGAGTCTTGGAACCACGGTACTCTCGTAAGTTGAGTGTCACTGAGCTCTTTTCCATGTTGCTCATTTAATGTTTCTCTCTCTTTTCTGAATATCGGCTATTAGATAACGTAGAAGAGACATCACAACTTTCACCATCAGAAAGAAACCATTTCTTCAACAGTAGTATCCACTTTTTTTTACTTCCACTAATTGATACTTCTCTTGGCTTCCATTTAATGTCAAGTAGCTTTTAGGCCTTTGACCTTAAATTAACGAGTGACTTTTCCTACAGCGTTTATAACTCAGACTCCTTGGTCTTGAGTGATTACTTGACTCATTCTGTAAGGACATTTACTTTTCATTTTTTAGTCAAATTTTTTGTGTTTTTTTATGTGCAATAAATGAAAATCTGTGATGATTATAAATCTGTAACAAAAGTCATAGAAAATAGCATAGATCTTGATAGAAACTTGTCCATTCATAGGACAACACTTGTATACTTGTACGAGTGGGACAGTCAAGCTGCAGTGCCACCAGTGCCAGCAATATCAATACAAAAAATTCAGCAAACATTAAATTACCTGTGAAGCTGTGCTAGGTGTCGTAATATGAGAATTACCTTGAGAACAGTGACCAGGAATTACTTACCTAGAGATGATAGGTTATATATAAGTAAGGTACAAATGAAACTTTGGCATGTGGAAAAGGTTAATTATGTGACTGAAGTAGGGACTAGAGATAAAAGTTAGGACTTTCATGTCTTGTCAGATTGATGCGTAATAGTAACAGTGTGACTATGATCTCTTGAGTTTGTCAGGGGATAAAGCATTTCAGTTTTGGTGGCCACCAGGACAGGACATCAAGCTGGAGGCAGGGAGAGTGATGGCTGTTTTTCTTTGCAGCGGGTTCTTCATGGTCGTCCTGGACGCTGGGCAAGTCTGGTGCTAGTACCATAGGTAAGCAAATACCTTGTGCTCCATCTCAGAATGTGTCATTGGCTCCTATGACCAGGGGAGGGTTTCTGGAGGGGAACACCAGTAGCTTTGTGCATGTAGCTCCAGGGCAATGTGTGGCTTCAGGGACAAGAAAGAGGAACTCCAATACTAGAGATAACCCGGATGAGACCTGGGTAAATGATTTAGCACCAAACATTGCCTTGGAAAGGAATAATGCATTTCATCTGAAACTGAGGTAAATTTTGTGTTTCCAAGTGCGTGTGTTAGCAACAAAGCCAGTAAACATTTAAATAGGATTTTCAAGCTGACAATTTACTCAGACTTTCTACTACTTTCATTTAAATGGGAGTGCATCAATTCACTCCTTATTCATTTCTGCAACTGAAAGGAAGTCTTTATGTTATGCCTTAAAGCTGCTGAGGATTTATTTGTATTAACATCTTAATTTTGTTAAATGCCAATAAATGCTGTGCCCTGTGTTCACTTACTATTAGGAAATTGCCTGAAAGAAAATGTTTCATTGTGAAATTTAAGAAATATGTCATAACTAATAAATCCTGAAGCCAAGAAGCTGTCTGTTTCTACATTTATCTCAACATCTATATCTACATGTACACCTACATCTATATCCATATCTACATCTGTCTATTTTGTCCCATGGTCACATTCTCAAACTTACTATAGAAAATAGAAATTGACATGTTTAGATGGAGTTAATAAGATTAAAAACCATATAAAAATTAAACACGTACACGTACTTAAAAAAAGACCGCAATAAATGAAGGTAAAGACAACAACACTTTTTCCCATACCCTAAGATAAATGTATTTGATAAGACCCATCTATTTGTTCTTGAATTTTCTATTCTACTTCTGTGGTTGGCCTCACTCCTGTAGCACATATAACAACACTGGAATATTACAGAGAAAATTAGCATAGTGCCTGTGCAAAAATGACTCATGAATTTGTAAAGTTGCCATATTTTTACATAGTAAATTATTTCTTTGTTTGGGTTCCCATGGCATACTGTATACACGTTAGCTGTCATCTTACTTTGTTATAATTATTTGTTTACTTCTCTATCTCTTTCATTAGAAACAGAATTCCTAAAAGGAAGAAATTATCTTTTGTATCCGTAGTGGGTAACACATGGCCTGGCTTCTAAAAAGCACCCAGAAAACGTTTAACGAGTGGATAAAAGCTTTATGGTCTATGAGGAAGAAACCTATAGCAATTCTTTGTATATATGATGCTAACCCAGAAATTGATGCTGAAACAGTTAATCCTTTTCTTCCCCCCTCATCTTGTCTTCCTGACGACAGAAATTCTATTTTAGTGTGATGCCCACATGGCCACCTCCTGTTGATAACTAGTGGGCACAACTCACTTCAATGATGGACAGATGGACAAGCCTGCTGTTATTCTTGGCCATAAGACTGTTGCTGCCTACTCTCTGAGATGCATCAAACGTTTCTTTCTCCTCTTTTTTGTAGGACTGTGCGTATTTGCTCCTAACTCTGTCTTGCTATATTTACAATATTAGAGGCCATAAGCAGGTTCTGGAAGGACAGATAGCCAGAAATATTTTGAGAGACGCATGTTATCTAAGACAAAAAAGAGGACTCCATGGAAAAGAAGCCATAAAATATTGCTATTATTTAACTGAAGAGGGATAGATCTTCTCTCTTTCTTTTCTATCATAGTGGGCTTGCTTAGAAGAGAAATAAAGTTACAATATATTTCTGGAAAAAGAGATCCAGATAATGGGACCCATTTGAATTTTTTAACTAGATGACTGCATAGAGTTATAATTCATTTAAATTTTTATGTATAATCACAAAGATAAATAGAAGTTTCTTCAAATTAGCAATATAAACTACACTTATATAGATAAAGACATTGACATGTTACTTAATTTTTTAAACCATATACAACATTCAAAAGCATTTCAACATGCATATTTTCTTTACTAGAAAAATGGAAATGGGGGAAGGAAATTAATATTGATTTAGTTTCTATCATGGGTTAGACATTTTTATGCCTTTTCCTATGTTTCTCATATAATCCTCAGAATTACGTTGTGAAATACATTTTATTATGATTATTTTACAAGTGAAAAACCTTGGGCTCAAAGATAATAATTTGCTCATGGTCACGGAGCTAAGAAGTGACACGACTGATTGCAAATCAAATCTTTCCAACTCTCAAATGTATCCTCTCCTTACTGTGTTGGAGTAGCCAGCACACAGTGAGTTTTCAGGAATTTTGGTTTTTATTATGTGAATAGTAGTGTTTTACGGAATTTTTCATAATTGTGAATGGTTTCTTTGATGCCAACTAAAAATATTTCTGCTAAGTGAGTTCGGGTACTTGTCCCCCTTTCCAGATGAGTAAATGGGTTGATTGAAAAAATGATTCAACAATGTGATGCTGGGGAAGTGATCTCTGAATTTTCAGAATGACTAAGCCCAAGAGCACAGTGCTCCCGTGGTTCACAGACATTTTTCAGGAGCTACTGGTCCACTTTCTAAAAGTCAAGATTTGTCTTGGCCACCTTGTCTGCCTAAATGATCGGTGCCTGCGCTAGCATGATGGGGTCTGACCAGGGCTCTTGGTTTCATTCTTGTTTTGACCCAATTTGTGGAATACCATGGCTCTTGACCAACAAAAGGGGTTGAGTTAAGAGTCACTCCAGCCTTCTGGGGCTCTCTTAGCAAGCATCAGTTTGTGGCTAGAGTTTTCTGAGGCCCATTGGGATTGTTCCTGTGTGTATCCAGATCCTAGGAAAAGCCCTGAACTGGCTAACCTTTTCTGTGGAGCAGGGACAGTGCAGGCCCTGAGCTGCTTCTGGCTGTTTCAATTCACGAGCATCCACCCTCCCCAGCCCCACTTGGTGGCAGCAAGCATACTGAAAAGAAGAGACAGTATGTTTGCTACTTCCCTCATGCTACCCCCAAATACGAGTCAGGCTCACCTTCTTAGAGTGAAAGGACAGGCTAGGGACCAGCTGCTGGTATCTTGTAACTAAGTAACATAGTTACTAAAATGGATTAACTCTGTGAAGTGACAGAACTGCCAGTTGTCATCCTGGTTTTCTTGGGTAATGCAGACAGTGCTGGAGGCAATTTCTAACTGTGTTAGATGCTGATTTCTTCCAAAAAAGCGGCTCCAATTGTAGTATGCCTAAAAATGGGAGTTAATCAAGACAGAATTATCAATTGGCTAGGTGAAATTTGACAAGTGAGTTTCATTCCAACTGAATTGCAAAGGTGATTGTAATATGTGGGAAACTGCTTTAGAGAGAGGCTTTGGAAAATTATAATTGTAAAACGTCGGCGTAATTTCCATGGTCAGGAAATGGTCATTATTTATTTTAAAACAGAGGTTTATTTCTCTCCCTCGTCTCTTTTTTCATATTCCTTCAAATATGTACATTTTCCTGTAATTTAAATTTAGTGATTAAGCTATATTTAAAATAATGCTTTGCCATTAATGAATGAAAGGTCACCTTTAAAAAGTTGATTCAGTAGTATAAGTTATTTCAGGGCTGGATTTAAGCCCAGATTCTATTAATGAAGACTGTTTCCTTTTTCTTTTTCTGGGACAGTAGAATTAAAATCATCTGTTTTGTCTGTTTCCAGTCATGACACATTGTAGGCTTAGGTAAATAAACCCAGCTGATAAATAACAGACTAACCGACTCTGTCTATCACTCGACTCTAAGCTGTCATTTTCATTTCAATGTTATATTCATGAGCATTAATGTGAAAACTCTCTGTTAAAGGTTTTCTTTTTGTGTTTTGATTGCTTTAGGATAGAAATTTAAATACCAAATTTCAGAAATGAATTAGGAGGGGCAGTGGAGAGAGTCCTGGATGAGGAGTGAGGAGGCTGGTTCTGGTCTTGGTCTGCTGCCCTGTATGTGCCTAGGCAAGTCACTTTAAATTTCTTGGTATCCATTTCCTTTGCTTTTAGAGCGAAGTTGGTTGGACTAGGTTAGGGTAGCAAATGGATGCCCCTTGGTCTGCCAGCTCTGATCAATTGATAATGTCTGCTGAGAGGGCTGCCTTGGGGATGATGGTGAGCCTCTTCCAGGCCCAGTTAGCAAGAGGACTAGGGGCAAGAAAGCCTCTAATTTGCCATCCCTGAATCTGACAACTTCTTGGGTTCTATTATGACTTCTATTATGACTTTCATGATTTATTCTTAATTCTTCACTTCAAGAAATGGCCTCTCCATACTTTACTTGAAGATGTTTTGAAAATTTGAGACCAAGGAGACATAGTCTTTGAGATCATCTAGTCAAAACTAGGCTGATGTCTATAAAAGTGCCTTGTAAAACGTAGAGCATTGTTTGTGTTATTTGAGGAATACGTGGCTAATTAATTAATGGTAAGTTTTCCCATGATTCCATTGGGGTCACCTTCCTCTCTAATTTTTCATGAATTCTTGTTGCATGAAGGATGAAGCCCTTTCAGTAAATTTCTTAGAAGTTGCTCATTCCACTGACAATTAATTAAGACAATTAAATGTTGAATTGTATAGGATAGACAGTAAACACTGTAGACGTTCAGAGAGCTAGAGAGCTAGAGTCATCAGGGAGCATTAAAGGAAGGGGTAGGCCTTAAGCAGGGCCTAAAATGAGCTGAAATTAGATAGAAAGGCACTGTTAGGTTGGGACAGAATTTGAATAAAGCATGGAATAAGACATAAGCACAATTTGGAACAATAAACAGGAAGTATAAGCTGTTGGTTCTCAATAAGGAAAAATTTGGATTGCTAATAATATGAATATTAATAATAGTTAACATTTATTCACTCATTTATCCCACTAATATTTTTTGAGTACCTCCAATGTGCCAGACCCTGTACTAGACACTGAGGATACAGCTCTTAGAGAAACAGACAAAAATCTTTAATTTTTTAGAGCTTACACCCTAGAAGGGTAAGACAGATAATAAACAAAGCAATAAGTGAAATATGCAGTATGTTAGAGAGCGATAACTGCAAAGGAGAAAAATAAACCAGAGGAGGGGACAAAGGAATGGTAGGGGTAGGGTGCAATTTTGGATAGAGTGGCCAGGCAGTCCTTGCCAGGAGGGTAATGACTGAGTAACGACCTGAAATACCACAGCTCAGGCACTCTGCCAAGTGAATTCTATATACGAAATCATTTAATTTTCATAACAACTCTATGAGAATAGGTACTATTATTATCTTCATTTTATAGTTAAGTAACTGAAACACAGACAACTAAAATAACTCATCAAGAGTGCACAGCAATTAAGTGTGAGAGCTGGGATTCAAACCCAGGAAGTCTAATTCCAGAGCTTATACTTTTAGTCTATAAAGTCTGGATGACTAAAGCCCTTCAAAAGGCTGTCAGAGGTCCAAGAAGGGTGGCATTTTAGAGCTGGAGGGAAATTTACTGATTGTCTAATCCAGTGGTTTTCAAAGTGTATCAGAATCACCTGGAGAGCTGATTAAAACCCAGATTTCTAGACCCTGCCCCCAGAGTTTTGGATTCAGTAGGTCTGGGGTGAGGCCTGACAATGTGCATTCTAACAAGCTTCCAGGTGATGCTGATATTGATGGTTTGGGCAGCACTTTGGGAATCATTGGTTAGCCCAATGGTTCTGAAACTTGGCTGCACGTTAGAGTCACCTGGAGAGCTTTTAAGAACTTCCCATGCGCTCCTGCAGGCGGTACTGAGAGTCTGCATTTCATTGGTCTGGGCTGAGACTCTGCTTCAGCTTGGTATCAGTGGCTGCAGTGCGCTTAGAGGATTAAATAGCAGTGATCTAGTTTAATCCTCATTTTGTAAAAGAGGAAACTGAAGTCTCAGGAAATTGGCTGTTCGCCTCTTCTTTTGGCTCCTAGCATTCTGTGCATTGTTTCTTACTCATCCACTTGGTTCTCTACTATATAAGGTCAGTGGCTGTCTTAATCTCTTCACCACACAATAACGGTTCAGTAAACATCTATT